GACCTACGATTTTTTTTTTCAGTTGCACCTTTGAGGAAGTAGGTCACATGTCTAGAGCCTTGCACACACATGTTGACTTTCTCAAAGACAGAAACAGAAATCTTTTCAGCTCAGTGTGTCGTCAGCGCGGCCTCACAGGAATCAGTCCTGAAACATCAGCCTGATTTGATTACTGATTGATTGATTACCAATAATCAGCATCAGGCCTGAGGAATCCTCATTGATCGGTCCTGTCTGATGTCTCTTTTTATTTGGACCCCGCCCTCTAACAGCTGGGGTTGGATGGCTCTTATAATACAAACAGAAGATGAATGTGTGTCACTCTGTTTCTGTCCTGCAGGTGGAGCCGATGGATCCGAGGTGCCGCCTCCTCAGAACGTCATCACGAAGACCTTGAACACCAACTACACGCTGAGCTGGGACTGGCCGCCGGGCGCTGCAGGGACCCACGCCGTCACCTTCACCACGCAATATGTGCCGTAAGTCTGAGAATCACGAGGGCGGGGCTTATTTACCTGTCAGACGGTGGACACGGGGCGTGGTCCACCTGAAACAGGTTTGAGCTGAGAGAAACTAACTGTGAGCCAGCTTTAAAGTCAGTTACCATAGTAACACACAGCGCTGCTGAGAGGGAAACCAGCCCTGAGTAAAGAAAGACATCATCAATGGAGCTGTGGCACCGGGATTCACCATGGCGACAGGCGGCTGAGCCGCTGTGGAACGAGGAACATGCGAAAAAGTGCAGCGCAGTCTGAAGTTCAGCTTCTTTTCACCCTGGCGGCTGAATCGCTAAAGATGTGAAACTCCTGTTTCTGTAAATATAACCGAGCTGTGTGAGTGATGGCTCCTCTGCTGCTCTTAACATTAAACTTAGCCTTCCTCCAAATGCAGGCTCTGCTCCTTATCCCGCCGTTGCCATGGTGACTCCTGGTATCGAGCTCGCTTTCATGGACTCGGGCCTGGGTGAACTGTGATCGGCTTCACTGGAAGTGAAACGTCGGGGTCTCCCTGGGTTGTTTGTCGGGTCCTGATGGTGTCAGCTGATGCGTTTAATCCAAACCAGCGACAGGAAGCTGTCAGAGAGGCTTACTGGAAACCGGGCTCCGGCTCAGTAACAGCCATCTCTTCCTCATACTTGAAGCAGAGCTCGTGTCCCGGCTCGTGTTTCTCCTCTCTGGTTTCACTGGAAGTCATTTGGGACGTTTATTAACCACCTGGCCTGCCATCATGTGATCACATAAAGACCTTTTAACTCCTCGCTGATATTTTAATACGAGTTTAAGTGTAAGTCAGAGTGTGCTCCATGCGTCAGAGAGCCGTGGAGCAGCCTTCCTCTTCGCAGTTTTCCTCCCTCGTCCCCATCATCCTGCTTCCACAGGCGTTAACCTCCCAGCCCCGACCGATGAAACACA